AGTGCTTGATTTCATTGCTAAAACAACGCTCCGTTTATAAGGTTGAGCTCCAGATTGATGTTACCAAGTTCACTGACATAAAGGTCAGTGAATTACGCGTTCGAATTTCTTACAACCTTTTGGGTACGTAAGAACGTCTATAACAAATGGTTGTCACTTTAGGGTTTGCCTTTGCATGCACAAACGGCATTCCATCTGAACGAAACATAACCAGATCCCTTGTTTGGCTTGAACTAGTTAATTCAAGCTATTTGAGGCACTGTACCCATGAGAACAGATCAAGGAATCTTTGTGCATGGGTTCAGGTAGTAGCACTACTTCTGGGCAACAGAGATCGAGGTGTTTAAATTCAAAATAAAGGATCTATTCTTGTCAGCACCGGTTTTCAGAACAGGCCAAAAACAACCTAGTGAAAAAGGACTTTCCTATAAATTAGGCCCGGAAATCTCTACTGGACCCTGTGAAGTACTCTAGGTCATGATTGATTCGAAAGACAAAAGTGATTGGTCTAAACAAACCACAGTAAAATAATAAGACCTTTTGTGCCCTAAAAGCTTAAATTTGAGTCACTTGGACTATCACATCACTGCGGCCTCCAAACGAAGGTAGGACGTTTGTTTTTCTTCATAAGTATCTCAAAAACATCTACGTACTCGAGTTTTAAAGTGTATTTGCGTCAACCCATGTACATGTACATGTTTCTTTTTCATTACAACCAGACTAGTTCCTCCATAGCGGCACCTGGCATGTGCTTGTATGTCATTGTGCGGTGCTATGTTGAAACGCAAAGGGATCGGCAAACGACACGATCACCTGTTTTATAAAACAGAGCTACTGTCCAACGTGATGCAATCATAGTTAGGCTGCCTGACGGATCTCAATAGGTCTCTGCGAGTTTGTCCACCGACCTCATTTGTTTCAGTTGTTATCGACTTTGTAAGTTCACATACAGCGGCTCTGCTCGAGTCGTTTGCGTGACCATAACTATGCACAGGCGTTCATTGACCAGACTAGTGTCAACGAGCGATTCCAGTCAACTGCATATAAGCCCATTAGAGTGTACGCAGTCTGTGATATTGCCAATGAATCTGACTCCAACACACTTGGTGCATTCAGTTGGTCATGTTTGCAGAAGCGAATTCTAACACACGCAACTACCACATTATACAGTATCCAAAATATTTACGTGTCCACGAAAATGGCCTTTCAAAAATGTCATAACTTTTGGAATAACTTAAGTGACCGAAGTCACTTGAAACCATCAAACCAGAAAAGTCCTCCTCAGTGAGTTAGGCTACTTTTTCTCTTCTGTTCCTACACTACAAACCAATCTTAGATTAACTGACTATCCAACTCGAACTTTTTTCCACTCGCCTTCTCATGTGTGCTTTAGCAAGCTGCTTCGGAGCAAATGCTGCGTATACATGACGCTCAGAAGCGAAATGACAGGCCATTTGTAACAGGCGAATTCGCTTCACGGCTGTTTGCTTAAGCAAGCTTCATTCAGATTTCTAACATGTAGCGCACAGTAACAGTTTAGTATGACTGAATTCCCAGGAAGCTGATTTCACTGCAATACATCTGGTGCTTATTCTAATGACTATGTATGTATGAGTGATTACTGCATCTGCTAACGTCAATGAGGATGGGAGTAATATACCTCAACCGACCCAAATGAACTAATGTACTCGTACTTGCAGCACAGATCTTAAGTTGTTAATAATCAAGATTGGAAACACAATGACGTATGATACACCACACGTGTCCAACACACCTCAGTTGAAGCTACCGTTGGGAGCAATAAAACGGTGTAGACTTCCGCTATCCTTCAGATGCAATGTTTTTTGTATGAATTCTGCCCATACCAAAGCAACAGTGAATTCAGTGGGAAGACCTTCCTCGCATTACATCTTGAAAAACTGTATGACCTAAATTGAACCTGAGTACAAAAAATCAACAAGGATCCAGACTGCCGTCCCCCATATCATACCTAATGGGGGGCCAAGAACCCCTGTATGATTGGAATGACCGAAGCAAGATATGTTGTATTACGTTGCTAGGGGGTCTGTCTCAGAGACCAATACGGAAAACTGTGCAGCCTGATCATTTACAATGCCACATAAACAGCTCTGTGAGTCCTATGTTGCTCAAGTGATGTCCTACTGTTTTGAATCCCGATGGTGACAATGTGACAAAACCCCATCGAACCGGAGTACTGAGAAACCACTAGAAGCAGCACCGAAACAGTTAATTGGGTAGTTCACACACCTAACCCTCCAGCTTAAGTGGTCATTCAAGTAAGGTAAACATTTAGAACACCCTCCAGAATTCTGTCAGTAGGAAAGCCTTAATCTAGAACTAATAATCGCTCCATCCAAAGTCGTTTTTATGATCATTACACAACCATTCGCTGAGCCTTCTTGATTCGTTCACGCGTGCACATCGCTTCAACTCCCTTAACGAACTGCAACGCGGGACTTGATCTCCGTCAAGCAAAATGTCCTCTGATAACCCAGCGATCCTTTAATGCTTTGTTTACAAATGAACACGATAGGGTTGCAATGTAGTGCAGCGTCATCCGCTTGAAACCAGATAGCATCAATCGGACTCGCCTTAATCAACTATAAAATTACTTGGCCTGTATGATAGAACATTGAAAAACTGATGACAGTAGCAACCAGCATGTTAATCGAAAAGAAAAAAGGGATCCCATCCAGCATGTTGAAAAGAAAAAAGGGAACCCAATGGTTTGGTGCCGGAATACCTTGCCAGAACGGTCTTGCTGCAGTTAATCAGCCTTGTCTGTGAACTTGTGAGAATATGGAGCAACACTACGTTTCTGAGTATCCGGGTATTTGGGTGTTCGGATTCTGCAGACATTACACAACGTGGCGACTGGATATCGCGCACCGACGATTCTTCATTAAAAGAACTCGTAAAAATTTCGGACTGAAGTTGTGATAAACAAACAGGTATTCCATCGCTGTCTTAGCGTCTTCTCTTTTGCGTGTACTCTGGTGTCAGTCAAGAGTGTGTACCCGCGATTTTCGCGTAACCTTTGAAGGTGATTCCTGGTATCAGATAAACCTGTGATGCTTTGGCTGAGAGAACCAACCATGAAAAAGGTGCTGTGCTCACTATCTATCGTTTATCAGGATACCCAAGGATATCTTCAATCACTTTCAAGTTAGCTGGTGTGCATTGCAGAAAGTGGCAAGTGTCGAAAACGTGAAGGTGCCCTCATATAACTCAGAAACAAAGTTCAAAAACGAGAAACCAGATTTTTTTCTCGACATCACACTAAGAGAACAAGCGCAAATTCATGTGATTTGGGCGGGCCGGTCAGAGGTCACATCAAGCCGAACACGAAGGAATCCGCCTACAATTCGGCCGGTTACTGGCTAGGCGTAAAAAGCTGTGAGTCGTTTGAATGCGGTGTGAAAACGAGGGAATGGAAACCCAGTTCCACAGCGCGAATGCGCACCAACGGTGAATCCGTGTGACATAAGATCCGTACGTTTTTGAGAAAACGAGTGTTCCATAGCTCGGATTCAGGAGCATCTGACTACATTACACTGAAGACGGTCTAAGAACGAGCTCCGTCTACATGTAATTATCTCGCTACCGACTATACTAGGATATGCATAGTCGGCTCTCCAAATATTTCCCAAATTTTCCAAGGCAAGATTACTGAGATGCACACAAAGTGCACTAAGTTAACGCGCTGAGGATTTCTACGAGCAGCATTTCGATCAAGTGAAGTTTGTCTGTGCTGAAAAGTCAAAAATCACTGTGGAGCTGTTCCGTGATTAGAAATCTCCTACTAATGCACCTAAATACACGTATTCCATTTGCTTTTCTAAAGCCAACAGTAGCGTCCTCGCCGTAGTGGAAGAAAGCGAATGAGACTGGCAATTAGCCAAAGATTTAAAATTCATTTTTAGGGGTGAAAACACTACCGCAGTACTGTACGTAGGTTTTTCAGAGATACCAGTACATTACAAGTTGATAAATACACATCGCGAGAGCAAGTTACTTTAGAAATATTCTGGCGAACGAAAAGCCTCCTTCTCAGCGAAACAGGTTGTAAGTCAGAGATGAGAAAATATTACCACCTACTAAGGAGTTGTGTTAACAGGTAAATTCAACAATGCCTACTGCAGCAGTTCGGGCATGCATCTCACAAATCGGATGATGAGATGATGTGAAGAAACTATCCAAATCATGAAGTAATGGATAGCCAAGATATGGTTCATGTATGCTGAATAGATATGACATACCAACTTGCAAATCTTAGAATGCGTATACTTTACATAAACCAGCACAAGACTCCTTCATTCATCCAATCTTCTTTACTTTTCACTTCAAAGCTTTAAGTAGAATTACCAGATAATAACCATTCAGCTGTAACACCCTTCCGGTGCCTAGCCTCAATACGACCCGAGGGAAGCAGGAGGGCTGGAATACTGCCAGGTTAACCAGGCCTAGACAGAAGTCGAAGTGCAGAGGTCGGGTTCGAACCTTCCGATCACTGATTTCGCGCCCTAACCATAGAGCCATTTATCTCCCCCCTCGCAAATAGAATTAGATGAACTTGATGGTTGTACGCCAGTGAAACATCAGTGTTGACACTCATGGTGCTGTCTCTGACGATGACCAAGTACGTTACCTATGTCTCAAGTCACTCAACAGTTCAAACAATAGTGATCTTGCCGCTGGTTGCATATAGACTTACTGAAGTAATCTAAAGCAAATCATGCTGCGTCACACTGAACCGTCTTTATTTGTCATGAGCTAGGAGTTAGTTCACTGAGAGCAGATTTTGTTACTATCGGTATAGTTATTAAAATGGATATGTCTCGTTCAAATAATATATTGATCCAAAAAAGACAAAAACATTAAAATTTGTACAATGCAGGAAGAAATTGGCATCTGGTAATAAGTTCTCGAAAAGAAAGCCACCACACCCGCTCGTTCGCTATAAATATTATCATAATCACTGAGAACGCAATGCAGCAGACAATGCAGTCAAACGAATCACGCCAGAAAGGTAAGAGATGAATTCCGAAACTTGACGATCTTTTCGAGACCGACATCCGTTATAAACGATCACCAAATAGACACGATATTCGAGCTTCTGTATAAAGTATGTGTGATTCAGTTTCTCGTCGTAAGAGTACAGAAATTTGTTGAATTCTGCCAATTCCCCCGTGTTTAGCTTTCCACTGATTTGCATCAGAGCGGATGATACCTGTGCGACCGGAAGCAAAGAACCCTGGCGAACGAAGAAGAATAAAACGACAACGAGGTTGTAGTGAGAAATCAGTAGGATGGATTCACACCGTGGTTGTAAGTTACGAACCGCTCATAGAATAAAGAATGGAAATAAAATGCGGAATCAGATCATCCGAATTACTTATTCATCCAAAGGTTCGAGGATACTCGTTTGAACTCTGATGAATTCGTAAGACAAGTGTACAATCGCACTATGAGTAGTTCGGCGAAACAAAATATGCCTCTTTGGAATAGTGATAATTGGTACCATCCGAACCCATTAATCAGCTGTCTTAAATCCGAGGTGAACAGAACTACAATGAATAAGTGAGAACTCCTAATTGGACACCAAAAACCAATAAAAAACGGTACAGGAATGTAGGGGAAACTGCAGGATAATTAGACCCAGTGTGACGGGACGCACAATCCTGACCGGTCATTTATGAAGCGAACTTACTAAAGGAGCAGTGAAAATAGGTGGAAAACTCTTCACACCAGTTGGTGTATCGCCTGCCGTCCCTGGTAAGACAAAACCATGTCCTAAATAGGGGTAATCCTGGCAGGCGGCATCAAAGAGCACAGAGACGTAAAGAGCGTTTGTCCGATTCTGGAAGTTGATGACCCTAAAACAGCAAAGAATAGAGCAAATGTGAAATTGAATAGAGACGATAGGATTATCGGTGCGCCTACCACTAAATTCGAGTTTTTAAAGCTCCACACGATCAGTGGATGCCAGAAAAGCTATTGACGTGTATGCGACTCGACAATCCCGATGAAGTGCCATGTTCTCCGCTAACCGTCAGGGTGACTGTTTAATGCGAAGATCACACCTGTTCGGCTACTAATAGAGAACATGCAAATTATTTTTAGAATACCTGTTCAATACCTTGTCTACAGCAATTCACCTCCACTCAAACCTCAAGTCACACACTCAGAACGCCACCATTAATCACTCGCTCAGCCACTCTCACTTTCTACGAGGCAAGCAAACTTGAGAGGTAAAACACGCAACAAAACCATATTCACGTAAAAGCGCCTTGCTAGTTGAGTAAGCTGACTAAAGAATCGATCGGTATAAAGAAGCAAGCTTGAAAACTAGCCACATCAATCGGAAAACATGATCAAGCCACTAGCCATCGGGAAGACTCCAAAAAAGTGATTCAGAGACTTGCTCCACATGCCTAACTCGAAAAAGCTAACCGTCAGCGATATGATGATAACCAACCTTATGGGCACAAAAAATCCTCATTAGTACAATCAACTTGGCTTAAGGAGAGGCAAATCAACTTATTGATTGTTTACCAAGCCCTTCTGAAACGAGAAATCGTTTTGTTTTGACTGTTTACCGCTTTATTCATAAAAAAGTCGTTCAGCTGTAACACCCTTTCGGTGCCTAGCTGTCATGCCACCCGAAGAAAGCACGAAGGCTGGCATACCTAGACAGGGGAAGTCAAGAGGCAGAGGTCAGGTTCGAACCGGGACCTTCCAGTCAGTAGATTTGCGCTCTAATCACTTGACTTGAACCACTTTATTCATAGTTACTCATTAAAAGTTGACCGCATTCAATGAGCGTGGTTTACAAGGTAAAGACGAAATGTCAAAGTATAGCAGTCTGCTTTCTTGATGTATTATGCAAGACAAAAAGTCATCAAACGAGATGAGTACTATCAGGACTACGTTAAATTACCTAGTAACAAGACTTGGGTTTTCTAGACCGGCCACTTCCAATGTTTCATCCGAATTTGAAGTGCAGTCACTGAGTACTTTGAACCAATATAATGTATACTTTGTCAGCAGTACGTTGTAAAAGTTGGTGAGCCAGAACAGTAATGCAGGTGGCTTGGCATGCGTGCGCGATCCACGATTATACTGACAAAAAGAGAAGCGTATTATGAAAAAGAACTGATGGTAATAAATTTTTGACTGACTGACTGTGTGAGCAATAAGCCATAAAGAGACAGCAGGTGGTTAACCCATTTTGGTAGTGAATGCTATTCAGAAGGGTCTCCCTTGAAAAGATATCGCGAGAGGACTTCTGGAGTAATTCAAAAACATTTATCCTGATATCTAATTATATTTGTGCAATACGGCAGTGAAGCACCGGTGTTGAACACTGATGTCATGCTGTCGATGATGATGATGACTTGTGCACCTTAGCATCAAGATAAAGTTGTTGTAGTGTGCCACTAATGTACTTTACATTATAAGAATCCAGGGTAAACACGTTAGCTATAACCAATCACAGAGTCCTTCTATGAGTTCTATTTAACAACCTGTTTCCAGACACATTATCTTATTTGACTTTCTTCGATAATTCCCTTTCCCCGAAGAACGCACTCGGATAGTTACCTTTCGTGGCTCACCAGCTTAGAACAAATGGTCGGTAGCAATGGCCGAACAGTCTCAAAAAGAAGCCTTCCGTAAGCATGAAAAGCTGCACAGTTTGAGCATACAAAAGTATATACCACTGTAGGAACTTCACCAGGGTGAATTGCGAACCAACTTCCCTTCATTCGCGTCACCGCCGGCACATCCCTCATCGAATAAAACAGCTAAATGCTAATCCACGGGTCAAAAACGAGGTATTGCAACAACTTCCAACCTTCATTCCATAGGTTCAATTCGAGCTCCAAAACAGCGGTGCTGAGGTGACCGGATGATGACCTTAACTAAAGGGCTTGTGCGCTATTGGCGATCGGTCGCAACAAAAACTTGGTTAGAGAAACGTTCTCCTTTGCAACATCAACACAAAATAGAATGGCACAAAACTTTGGGGCCACTTAGTTTGTCGCCATGTTGAATAGCCAGTAGTGATTGAAGCATGTCTACCTCAACCTTTCCTCTTTTCCACACCCTTCTGTCAGGTCATACGTCGTCGATCTCACGGTTTCCGCCATTCTGAAGGAGGTACGGAGAACAACACTCGTCTTGTGGACGGTGTTTCGGCATGCGCTGCACATGCTTCACGTGGTGAAGCATGAGTCCGTACCTTATACGTGTGATGAGGCGCGTGCCGAAAGATGGCAACAAGGTTATCAGCTTATTCAAGAGAACCTGTTTTCGGCACTCGTCTTCAAAGATGAGGATGATGTTGCCTAAGTACTCTGGATTGATAAGGTTTCCACAAGTAACGGTTGGAACACTTGGATTTTGAAGACTTTCCAGCGTTCGCCTCATCGATGACAGTCTGGCAAGAATGGACACCACACTTGTTGTAGGGAAGCTTGTGAAGTTCAACATAAACTCTCACCCCCCAAGGTATGTGGTTACAGGAACCGAATTATGTGCATCAACTTGACGGGGATCCCACGTTGAGCAGGTGCAGCTACAAGCCGTTATGGATCAACACAATCGAACGCACGCTTGAAGTCAAGGAACACCAAGGTTGTGGGTCATCTGTGTATATTGGATCGCCTCATCGCCCGATGGAGTGTGAGAATGTGGTCGACACATCCTCTGTCCAATAAAAATAAGACCATAAAGACTGCGGTCAGTCCGTAAAATACAAGCAGTTAAGCGATACCATCAGAATGAGACTCATGAGAGCAGTAGCAAAATGAATCTCATGATATACTAATTTTTAGCGTCAACCGTTGCCCGAGACACTGGACTGGAGAGAGCGCGCTTCCAGTCTTTGTCTGCTGTCTGTGTTTGCGGTCGAACTGCAGCCTACTGTGATCTCAGCTGTAACACCCTTTTATCGTAAAGCTGACATGTCACTAGGAGAAGCACGGGGGTTGGGATACAGCCAGGTTGCCCAATCCTAGACAGCAGCAGTCGAGATGCAGAGGTCAGGTTCGAACGAGTGACCTCGCGGTTTAAATCACTGAGCTGTCTCGAGCTCACTTATGTGGAACAGGTAAACGCCAGCCCGAAACCATTGTCTACGCCACAAACTATATCCACTCTATCCAGACAATTCCAAAATCATAGGTTTGTGTGGGGCCCGACAGGGATTATTCGGGTCACGGTGAGCTAAGTTGCAATGATCTGACTGAAAACTGGATGCTGAAGGTAGAAATCTAGATAACTTACCATCAGAACTACAAAATTACACATATTGGAGATCACTTGGAGAATGCTGAAAAAAATCTACTTACCGGGAGATCGAAAATGCGATAAACGGACTCCAGTTTCGCTGATGCATTTGAAATGCACAGAAGCGAGTCGATGAAATGCAAATCTGCGATGCGTGACTGTGCACGAAGTAGTTTTGATAACACCCCTAGTTCGGCACTAAATCAGTAATCCAGATCAGGAAAACGTAGATACCAGACTACTGTGATTAGTGGCTCCAGCGCAACAGTCACATCATCATTTGGGAAGGACAGTTCTTGTTCCCAGGCTTCGACAGAGACACACAGAGAAGCACATTCCATCAACAGCTTTAGAGGATTTTCATCCACCGAGCGGTAGCTATGTAAAATGTAGGAATCAAGATCCACTCTAGACAATTCCAAAGTCATAGGTTTGTGTGGGGCCCGACAGGGATTATTCGGGTCACGGTGAGCTAAGTTGCAATGATCTGACTGAAAACTGGATGCTGAAGGTAGAAATCTAGATAACTTACCATCAGAACTACAAAATTACACATATTGGAGATCACTTGGAGAATGCTGAAAAAAATCTACTTACCGGGAGATCGAAAATGCGATAAACGGACTCCAGTTTCGCTGATGCATTTGAAATGCACAGAAGCGAGTCGATGAAATGCAAATCTGCGATGCGTGACTGTGCACGAAGTAGTTTTGATAACACCCCTAGTTCGGCACTAAATCAGTAATCCAGATCAGGAAAACGTAGATACCAGACTACTGTGATTAGTGGCTCCAGCGCAACAGTCACATCATCATTTGGGAAGGACAGTTCTTGTTCCCAGGCTTCGACAGAGACACACAGAGAAGCACATTCCATCAACAGCTTTAGAGGATTTTCATCCACCGAGCGGTAGCTATGTAAAATGTAGGAATCAAGAGCTCACAGGAAATACTCTAGTTTTATTCTAGTGCAGTGGTATTGAGGCAAATACTGAGGGATCAAGGTATTAGGATGCTATTATATGGTCTTCGAAAGACGGAGTGATTAAACGACCGGGATCAAACATTTCAAAGGATACAAAGAAATCAACCGTGAGCGAACCAGACAAATGTTCTTCAAACACATGGCTATGCGATATTCTTGACTAGGCTGATCCAGCAGAGCGACGTCGGCGATTTGGTCGAATCCCGTTTGCAAAGACTGGTAAGAGGCTGCATAATCCTGATTATTCCGATCAAGGGATGCGTGTGCACCTACCTCTCTTCGCGGGAATAGGAAGCCGGTAGCCAAAAACTGTAAACCATAGTAGGCCTTTTCGAGACGGCAAAATGTTTGCAAGCCATCAAGGAAAGATATGCGTGAGTTGTTGAGGAACATTTTGGCTTCGAAAGGCAAACAAAGCTGAAAAGATGTTATAATTGATTGCAAGCCTCGAAAAAATACTTACGATGCGCTCCTTAAGTTCATCCTGTTTGATAGACAGCATCGACTTGAAGATAGACCCGAATGTTTCCACGGAAGACTGCGCCATCAATTCGGCGGCGCCCGAACTGTTCGGAGGACGAGCTTGAATTCACAACCTGCACAAAAATATTCAGAAAAACGACATATCTTTCAAATATTCAGCAACTAAGACCGGGTAAATGAAAAGACACCGTACAAAAAGCATAAGCGATGAGTATGAGAAGCTCGCCAGCCTCGAGCCCAATAGGGCAGCCTAAACGCTTGCCCCCAATTAAACATGGACTGCTCCCGTATGTGATCACGGAAACCAGAATAGCGCTCAAAGGATCAAAAGATTGTCTTACGAAAAACCTCTACACAAGCACTAATCAGAACGAAACCATTTAGATTCCAGAAGTGTAGATGAGAGAGGAACACGATAAATAATGTTTTAAACTTGAACTAGTTTCCAAAAAAACAACTCTGTATTCCGTATTACCATTCACCACATGTGGCAGGTACAGTCACGTCCTACAACCCCAAAAAGGGATAAGGAAACGCTATAGATAAATAGGTATGGCGTATTGGACAAGTCAAAAACATGTGGAGACGGACAATTTAGACAAAATGAGGAAACAGGGCGCGAAGCCTCTTGACACGCTTCAGTGAAAGTAGCACAATATTCCAATAAAAGGAAAGCGCATCAGATTGAAAACATTCACGAAAACCAGTCGACAATTTAGGAATTTGGTCAAATTCTTCAAATGCAACTTGGACGTCCGACGAATATCTAAATCTAGACATGCCGATAAGAACGACTTTGGATATAGGATACGTCAGAAGCGTAGGTTGCTCCAACTTTCAAACTATGCATCCCATTCGCCAAGTCACGCGATTCTATGCGATGCACTTAGAATGAAGTAATTAAACAATGGGAGCTGCTAAAAGCAGTGAGTAGTGACGACTAATAAAAAAATAAAAATCGTTCAGCTGTCGTGCCCTTTCAGTGCCTAGCTGCCATGCCACCAGAAGGAAGCAAGAGGACTGGGATACTGCCAGGTTGCCCAAGCCTAGACAGGGGAAGTCGAGAGGTAGAGGTCGGGTTCGAACCACGGACCTTCCGGTCAGTCAATTCGCGCACTAACCACTTAGTCCATCTCGCCCCCCGGTGACGACTGGTCATTTTTCTCACCATCTGCATCGGTAATGTGAACGCGGTAGATAATTATCCATCTAATACCTCAATATTTGTCACAAACAGGGGTAAACCGGCTAAACCTGAGTTCCTGAGTTACATCAAGATCCCGGAACATTGAGGACGCAGGTCAAGGGTCATCCGCACTCACCAGTGCTCATAGTCACGCTTCCCTCGTGTGGAAACGTAACTGCATCTCATTACTCTTCAATAACTTCGCAGTGTGATCACTACAGATACCAATTTGGACGAAGAGTACACATTACCAAAACGCGTAGAGCGCTATGGTCGAAATACTTTTCGCTGTACATTGGTCTTTTTGCCAGTATTTCAGCCGCCGCTTTCGGAAGAAACACCAGTTAGTTGCTTAAATTTTTCCTTCTAAACAGCTGTTACGGCACAAAGCACCTTGTCTCGTTAGATTTAGTGAGGGGCTCGAACGAATGTATCTAAATCAGGTTATCACTAAAAATGTTTCCACATGCACAGATATTTGGTTCTCACCGACACAAACAACCTTCGCACAAAAAAAGGCCAGTCGAGGTATACCGATGCTGCATAGGTCAACCCCAGCCAGTGAATACATTTGAACTGACAAGCTGTCAAATCACTTCGAACAAGTATGGCATCACAGATTCTGGAGAGATCCAGGTGATACCAACAAACTTATTTATTCTCCGTTAAGTGGACATCACGTTACTCATCGACAATTCTAAAAAGTCAGTGCTTGAATTCAATTCAATCCGATGGCCATACAAAGCATGCGGACTACGACGTACTGATTGAATTAGATTAATTCTTTTGGCACACTAACATAATCAACGAGTCTCGCTGAACATAGAGCACAGCAGCGACCATATGGAGAAAATGAATAGTAGGAGAAAAGAGTAGTAGTAGTAGGAACTTGCAAAACGTCTCCGTCGACTGGGGTACACCGTCTTCGAGGAGTTGAGAACCCCTACTTCTACGTCGTTCATCAAACCTGACCTAATCGCTGTTCGAGGTCGCCGTGCAACCGTAATAGACGTTAGCATAGTCTCGGATGGGCGTGGAGAGATAGTGTGGAATGAGAAGAAGCAGAAGTATGGTGCTGATGAACATTCCCTCGCCATAATCTCAGCCCTACATGCCATCGGTTGTGATATCGACTTTTTGGTTCACCAACCGGTGATCATCTCCTATCGAGGGATCTGCTTTCCTCAATCCGCTAAGGCTGTTATTGGACTGGGACTTCCTAAGGTCGCAGTCAGTGACTTGTGTTTGCTTGCCATTGTGGGCTCCCTGCGTACTTATGACACTTTTATGCGTGGCACATGGAGCTGAAGGTACATTTTTGCCATTTAATCTCACCCCAGACCCAGTATGACGGTCACTTTGTGCCTGATGTGCGAGTCTTGACTGTGCTAGCGCATACTGCGCCTTGAAGAGCATTCACCATTGTTTGTCCTTTCTTTGGTTGTTAGTCTTTAGACGCCTGTTCCTGCACCAAAATCTTTACATACTTTGGGATTCACCTCATCAGACTGGCACTGTCCCTGGCATGATTTCGAATGAGACGTTTCTCTCTTTTCTCCCATATTCTCCTGTTACTCTTTCGAATTCATCGCTTGCATTCACTTTTTATGTTTGTGACCATGCTCTTCAAAAATAAATGATAATTAGGAGAAAAGAGTAGTAACCTCAAAGAGTGGAAGACAGCTTCGTATTCCATAAGCCACTGTGAGATGTGCAATAAAAACTGTAGGTTGTAGGTACCAACATTCGACCAATCCCAGCGACCGCCACTCCGGCGGATACGACACAGTATGTACCGACTCCATTCAACCGGATGGTTATTCCTTACGTCGCCGTAAATTAGCGGAGAACAGACTACCTGCATGTTGGTTTAATCTGCGCCTGAAAAAATTGATCGACGTTGCTGATGGGCGCTGATATTACCTTAGGCTAAAATGAATACACCTTTGATGTATACGAACCTCCTCCGGCACTTTTCTAACCCAAACCCGAAGTATGCATTGTGGCTGCACACAAATTAACAAATAAGCCACATCACTACACGAGCGCGCCGGTTAAGCTCGCCCACTCGTACTATTGTGAAAAAGAACCCCAATGCCCAGTGTTGTGTTAGGTGGCATCCTGGGATTGAGACCCATGATTAACCCTACAGACCCGCGTGCAACTGTCATGATGTGTTACGTTCTCCCCATTGGAGCCAGCATGTAACTATACGGTCGAATTCGATTGTGGGAGCCGGATACATCTAACATTATCTGTGTGACGCAAAATATACGACTCGAACTTGTACTAGCGTCCAGCCAGCATAACGTTGCTAAGTTTTGCAGCCGGTCAATCAGCAAAATACGTCACCACCTAGGAATGATTTCTCTTCTACTCACCTATTCCTCAGATGCTATGGGGGCGTGTTTGATACATAGAGACGCAAATGAATGAGCATGTTTAGCTCATAGAGAAAGAACTTTTATTCTTACGGTTTGCTGAGAAGCCTAAACGTGGAACCATAATTCATGTGAATGTTGGAGCCCAAGTTATAGGTAGGGAACTCCGAAGCGTCAGAACTCATTTGTCATTCCACTCTCCACTTAAGCGGACAAGATTAGCGCACTTCGAATGAGGCGCTCCACTTGGGGCTGCTTGGTTAACTGGAACACCACATAAACGTCATGGAAATCACTAGGTAGTTTAAGCACATCAGCACGCTGACCTTTAAATCACTCCGCTTTATTCTATGGCGCTCATTCCTACCGATAGCTTTATGGGCATGTACTGAGATTAAACTTCATCCTGTAAATCAATAAAACTCGGAATCCCTGAATATCGAATTCAATCGATGGGAGGTTAGTACTACGAATCACCAGCGAAATTCGATGACCCGAATTCTTCGCAAGCTGCTTGCTCTTGGCCACCAACATTCCTGATCGATCACTTTCATTTCAATGCGAACATCCACAGTTTTCCCGTTGCAGCATATTTCCATGCATCTTATCCTGTAAAGCCCTGATACTGTTTCACCGACCCAGCAGAAGGATGACAGGTGTGCGATTCTAGCGGAACACAGAGTTAAGTTGAAACAATTTGTTGCGACGTTGAATTACTTTGCCGAGCCTACACGACTGACTAGGCCAGATTATGTACTGAAACCTTTCATCTCTTTCTCTTGCCTAGACGATTTCCGAGGCGAGGATGCCCTGGAACCATAATACAAATCTGTTCGTACTTCTCCGTAAAGTCCTTTAAGGGACAAATTAAAAATGGTCCCTTCGGCGAGAGTTTACTATTGAAACGCATTTCGATGTCGCCACTGTTTCAGTATTGTTTGGAACTAGATATGCAAACTAAATCTTTAAACATGTAAATGAATCATCAAAAGGCTACGATCGTGAGATGTTCCAAACAAATGTTGTCAACCATTCATTCGTAAGATACTATCCACCCTACGTTGACTGAATCGCAGCAAACACCTGGAAGCACTGGCGCCCCACAACCCAACCACCATTCGACCCGGTTTTCGTGTACTGCTAGTTTGCCTAATTTGAGTCTTTCCCCGCGATCTTCGTTTCAGTCGAGCAAAGTACAATTCAACAATCGTTCAGGTCTGAAGAATACCCGAATTCAGACAAACCCAAGTGGCCGCGTGATAAGTATACACAACATCGACTAGTTCACATTCTGACCTCAAATAGCTCCTTTCGAGCACCAATGACTCTTGTTAAAACAAACCTCGTGGATGATTCTGTTTTCATTGCAAAAGCATAATCCACTGCTTCTTAGTGAAATCTCTCCGCGGAGGGCACCGACGTCATCACAGGGAATCATGGCGCAAGATACAATGCACCATAGCAATTCATTAGTTTGACAGATCCAAGAGGTTATACACCATCCGAGTGTCTTAGCGCGAATTTGCATGTATTAAGTAACGATTTACGAGATGAACGCACAAAACTTTCTGTTTTGTAGTCATCAGAACGCCCAGATTGGATACAGTAGAAATGATACTTTAATTCAACAAGACTACGACAATTCACATAGACTATCGGATGAGTGAAAACTAAAACTGCAAGTGATTTGGTGACAATGCTTGGAGGGGCAAAACTATAATGAGTTCGGCAGTGTCAAGCCGTCTGTATTTTGTGATGGTAAGGAATACACGCAGTACGATGTCACCCAGTTCAGTATGGTCCAATAATAAGTCGTTTAAACCGAGCTTTTGTCGATTTGATCAGTTGAAAAACTGGTTTGTAGCGAAATCCAAAAGTATATGCATTAGATCTGCAGGAACAATGGTGTATAGCCGCAACCTATAACATCGCAGTTCGTATGCCCGGGAGAGATGCCGGACAGAAGTCTATCGCCACTTGAACAACCAATCAACACGTGACGTGGATCCCGTGTTTGCAGGATGAGTGTAAGCTAAGAACGTCGCTGATCAGTCACTCGTGGCCGAGGGGTCAAGCAATTGAACGAATGAGCTACTCTGCGACTTACAAGCTTTTACTACTATTCGTGTTACACACAGGGCGGTTGAAAGGGTGGCGATAAAAGGGAATTTTACGGTTTAAAAAGAAATTCGGCACAGAATATTGCTCAGCCTGTGGCCACCGAACGACTAACACTGAGCAGCCGTTTGATTGCCTCTAGTTAATCATTTCGGTCCACTCCATGGACCAGCGAATACCAAAAGCAGCAAGAAAAAATGCAAACGAAAACTGCATTATCACCCTAATTCTAAATTTCTCTCCAGAAAAAAAATGCAATAATATACTGAAAAACAAAGCTGAACCTATAGGTCCGCTTCATGAAAATTGGTGACCTGGAATTTCTAAGCAACTAGATCGAAACAATGCCTCGTCCAGTAAGCAGTGATAAACCATCAGCTGTCTGAGGGCTTGTAATTCCTGAACCCGATTAACTTCCATTTCTTTCTGCAGTGTAAAAATCTAGACCATTCTGTAGACAGCAGTATATGAAGGACTGAAGAAGACGGATAAAAATCAAGGTCCGAGTGAAACTTAGCCGAGTTGGGTGCAACTTACGGCTGCACTAGGGTTGATGGAAACAGGTGACCTGTCGAAACTGCAATGACGATCACCCGAAGAATGCATTACTGCAAACATAATCGCTGCGCCGTGAATTGAGGGTAGGGAGTGCTAACAAATTCAGACTAATAATGACCACTGGGTTCACCTATGGAAAGCACGATGCCAAACCTATAAGATGACATGAAGTTGGTCACAGCGCTAAAACCACACACACACAACATCGTAAGTCTACACATATATTGGATGCACCCGTATAGGCGACCTTTACATGAAGCCTAGCACAGTACCGATCGGCGCCTCGAGCGGACTCATGATCCACGATGGATCATCATCGTCAGCTATAAGAACCGCGCACTTGTCGTACAGTGGTTGTAACTGTCACAGTTTCGTTCACCGATGGTTTGGGGAGGTGAGTTAGGTAGCTCTTCATTGGAGGCGGGAGCTGATAAATTGGTTCGTAAATACAGCACCGTCAGTTGAGTAGGGGAATTGGGAAGGGAGTTATGTATTGAAGACAACAGTTTGGATG